ACCTTAGAACCAATTACTCTTCCTTCACAATAAGCAGTATCCAAGATGGAAAGAAAAGTAGGCTTCAGGTAGGCAGTAGACTAAACGCCTGGAACTTTCAGCTAGACTTCTTCACTTTGATTTATAATTTGTATGAGCTTTCCTGCTCTCTGATGCCTGTGATTATCCCAGGAAACAGACACTTTCAAACTTTAGTGTTCAAGTCCTAAAGAGAGCAATTTAGAATAACTGTCAATATTATAAAAGCATATTCTCTTTGTTTCTGCAATTCTACATTTAAGAATTTTTCCTACAGCGACACTTGCTCATGCATGAAATTACATATGTTATTCATTGCAACATGGCTGATAATAGCCAAATACTGGAAACAACCTGAATGTTCATCAATGGGGGACTGGATAAACAAATTAGGGCCTACTATGCAGGTATAAGAAAGAATGAGGAAGTGCTTTATACAGTAGTCCCCCCTTATCTGTGGTGGATATGTTCCAAGACTCCCAGTGGGTGCCTGAAACCACAAATAGTACGAAGCCCTATAGATACTATCTTTGTTTCCTAAACATATATATATAGATGATCATGTTTAATTTATAAATTAGGCAAAGTAGCAAAATAACAACAAAAACTAACAAGAAAATCAAACAATTATAATAATGTACTGTAATAAAAGTTATGTGAATGTGGTCTCTTTCTCTCAAAATATCTTATTGTACTGTACTTACCTTGCTTCAGACTGTAGATGTCTATGGGTGGCTGACATGGCAGAAAGTGAAATAAGGGGATTTTAAATTCCTATCCCCTGTGGATAAGGGGAGACTACTGCTTACTGATATGGAAAGATCTCTAAGATATGGTATTTAGTGAAGTAAACAAGGGGCAAAACAATGTCTATGCCACCATTTCTGTAAAATGGTGGTGGGCTTCAGGAAAGCACAGATTTGTATTTATTTGCAAATGTGTAAAAAATGGCCAGTAGCATATACAAGTAAGAAACTAATAACAACATAACAATGGTCACTCCTTGGAAGGGTTTCGTAATGGGTACAAAAACTGTACAAAGAGGACAATGGTAGCTGAGTAACTTTTCACTGGATTCCTTTCTAGGCTCTTGGTTTTGAACCATGAGAATAGCTTACATATTCAAAAGCTAAATACATATTTTAAAAATTTAATGAAACAAAACTCTAGTTCTGAGAAATCACGTAGTGTGTGTCTTTTAAAATGCAGACTTTTAGGCCACACCCCCAGCTTAAACACTGACATTGTTCCAAGTCAGTAGAGGGTTGGGGAATATGCATTTTGCAACAAGCAGCCTGGGTGATTCTAATGTAGATGGTCCAGGGAACCAAGGAACTATGGGGTATGTGCCACTGTGGGGCACATAGCCACAGACTACATTCATGCAACAACTATTTTTTATTGAGCATTGGATACATGTTTCTGTCCATTTCACAAATTATACTTTATTATATTAAAGAATAAACCTCATTTCTTCTACAACTTGAACATTCAGCTTACTATATATGGGATTTGACTTAATATCATACAGACCACTTACAATGTGATAGAAGCATTGGAAGCATTTCTTGAAAAATAACAATTTTACTCAAAGCACACTTTATAGATAGAGTTTTACATGGTCACACAGTTAAGTTTGCACATTTAAAGGGATCTGAACCATTCATATTAATATTGTGAATTTCTTATAAATAATTCATTTGTTCAGGGAGTCCAGGCAAAGCCAAGCCATGACATTACTTACACTAAGTACCACACTTGGAACTTGTTCTGAGTTATTTAACACAGAGTACATTTTTCAATGCAATAAATATTTACAGTTAATAGTAGCAAATACAATTATAATTTATGAAATATGAGTCTAATATTTAAAACAAAACATAAAATGACATTAAAGAAGTTTGTGCCATTTATTTTTACAACTCACCGAATTGACTGTTTTACGAATTTTATTACCCCAAACCCTGCTGACTTGAATGCAAAAAAGGTCATGTTCGAATCAGTAAAGTCCAAATTGCAGAAAAAAAGAAAACTTTTTAGAAGATAATCAGTGTTACTTCCTTAATGTTGTACATGTATTATTAATGTCATTAGCTAAAATGGAAGCAAAGTGATGAAAATCTGGATTCACAACAGGTTCAAATTATATAACGTACCTTCAACACTGAATTTCTGAGTTATACCAACATTTTTAAGCTTGTCTAGGAGTTAATGAGGCCTTGAATGTATGAGGTTTTACTGACCATTAAAATGATTCTTTTAAAAGATCGTAAAATTATGTGAGTCCTTTCATATCATTATATAACTCTGCGAGTGAATTTTCAATTTGGGGGAAAAAGGAAAATAATCTTATCTTATAGAAATGTGAGTTCAGAGAGTGCAGAGACAGTGTGCCTGTGTTTAGAACAGGGGATCTAGAGCTAGGCACTCAGATACAAGTCCATATCTGAGTTTCTTATCTGGCCCCTTAGTCCAGGAGATATTTTTCTGTTAGAGGCTATTTATGTGGTCTAGGTCCCCAGACTAGGAAATCAACCATTGTCATATCTTACTCTATTTTGGGGAAAATGGGGGCTTAAGTGGTTCTACCTCTGCCTGACACTTTTTCTCCAACTAACTCTGATTCAAAGAAAGATGGGTAGATTCGCTGTTCTCATTTTGGATCTTCTAAGTTGGTCCTTGGCAAGTTTTTTCTCTCCTCAGACACAGAACCAGGTGGGAAATTCTTCCCAGAGCTTCCAGTTGCAGCTGAATTGTGTCTCTGAGTAGGGGAGGAGGAGGGTGCAAACAACTGACCTAAGGGACTTTCCTACTCACCCACTTTGTGTTGCATTTCAGCTTCTGCCCTCAGCAATTCCTTAAACTATGTGCCTCAATGTTCTTTGCATACATTTTTTTGATTTTATCACTAGTTCAGGCCTCTGGACAAAATCTAGAGAGTGGAGTTTTCTACTAAGTACTGTGAACTTAATTTTTCACACAGGTTGGATTTTGGAAGCAATGCTAAGCAGTGGAATGGACACAGACATAGAGAGATCAGGACCACACTTAAACTCTGCCACTCAACTTCCCCATGTGACTTGAGGATCAGTAAGTAATCTCCCTGCCACAGCTTCATGTGCCCAGCACTGGACTTGGCATATTGTCAGTGTTTGGTGAAGTTGAGCCCCTTCCTTTCTAGCACTTCCAGAGCCACAACACTCCATTCAGGTTTTGGTTAAATTTGATGTATTTCATGGCCAACGTTTTTGCTACCAAGGATCCTACCCTCCTTTGTCTTAGCCTTCCATTTCATTGTGACATTTAATGTTGTGTCCACCAGTATGTCTCTCCTGGGGCAGCCAACAATGACCCTATCCTCTCCCTTGTGCCAAGTTAAACAGATTCGCTTTGGGGACAAGAGACTATCCCGTAAACTGGAGAAGTGATGATGAGCATTGTTCTTCAGTATCACCGAATAGCCCATAGGAATGAAGTACAGTTAGTTCACCTCGAAACAATATGAAATCAGATTAAGCTGAACCAGATGAAATTGCCTTTTTGCAGTTCAAAAATGGTCCAGTCTCAACAGTTTCATGTTTCAGCCTCATAGTTCCATGGGCCTTTTAATGTAATGGTAGATGGTTACATTTCCATAGTAAAGGCTCTTTGGCCAGCAGGGAAGGCTTGGATGAAATAAGGTAATAAATATAAAAGTACTTTATAGACCATGAACACTATGTAAATGCAAAGTTTTTAAAAAATTAGTCATGGACATGATTCCACGGTAATATTCTGACCCAGGGGTTCTTAAATTTAACATATGTGCAACATTGAAGCTTTTTAAAAATTTACTTACAGTTATTCCTATTTTACATTTGAGAAACCAGTGCACAAATAAGTTGCCTCCTGCCCCAAACTGCTTATAAATTACAACTCCAACAAACTCCAACAAACCTGCCAAAAAGATAGGTGACTTTTTCTTTTTTTTCGATTTTTTAGGGGAAGAGGGGACAGGGTCTTACCCTGTTGCCCAGGATGGGGTGCAGTGGCATGATCACAGCTTACTGCATCCTCAAATTCCTGTGCTTAAGTGATCCTCCTACCTTAGCCTCCAAAGTAGCTGGGACTACAGGCACATGCCACCACTCCCAGCTAATTTATTTATTTATTTAATTATTTATTTTTTGAGACAGAGTTTCGCTCTTGTTACCCAGGCTGGAGTGCAATGGCGCGATCTCAGCTCACCGCAACCTCCGCCTCCTGGGTTCAGGCAATTCTCCTGCCTCAGCCTCCTGAGTAGCTGGGATTACGGGCACGCGCCACCATGCCCAGCTAATTTTTTGTAGTTTTAGTAGAGACGGGGTTTCACCGTGTTGACCAGGATGGTCTCGATCTCTTGACCTCGTGATCCACCCGCCTCGGCCTCCCAAAGTAGAGAAAAGTCTGTTCTCAGTGTGTTATTTGTTGATTGCTCTGAATATATTCAGCTGGACTTAATGCTTGGTCCTCTGCAACCTAACAATGGGTGTCTCTGAAGGCCAAAGTTACAGTAAGAGATTATGTGACATTGAAATTGTTGTGTGTTTGTGTTTGGGGAGTGTATGTTTGGGTGTGGGCTGGGAGAAATGACAGTCCAGATACAGAACAAAGTAGAGCTTGTTAAGCCTTGGTTTCATCCAACAGTGTGCACAAAGCCTAGTCCCATGAAAGTAAAAGAATTCCTTGTTTTCAGCTGTTAATCCATTCATGAAAATGCAGCCAAAAAATAGGCAAATGCACAAAATGTGCTTCATTTTCCCAGAAACCCAGGGATAATTCTAAGCTACTCTCTAACAACAGCTACCTTCTGTTGTGGATGCGAAGAGCACAAATGGCAAGAAAGTTTGCATGCTTCGCATCTCACCACGATACAAGTGGATGGCTATTCATTCAACTCCCATACAGTCAGCTTCCCAGGGTGAAGGTTTCTAGCTGGCTTCCAGGAAAAGTGACTTAGTCACCTTTTCGTCCACAGATGATGCCATTCATTGTGTACTCCCCAAACAAAGTTAATCTCTATTACCAGAAGCTATTTGATGCATGAAAACACTCTGAAACCAATAACCAACTGCTACTTTTGACATAAATGAAGACTTTACAATGCAAGGATGCTCATGTGCTATCGTCAAGTTTATTTACTTCTGTTCAGTGCATTTTCATAACAAGATGAGCCTGGTTCATCTGCAGCAGCCCCTAAACAGTTTATTTACCTAAGGGTTCTCCATCCTCCCAGATGAAACCAAATTGTTTGTGGACAAAGAGGGAAATCCAGAGCTTGTTAATGAGGCAGAAGGCAGGTTCAGTGCGAGAGTAAAGGCAGTCAGAAGAACAGGGTTTAGCCATCCACATTTATGGAGAATCATCAAATCAACAACAGGGAGGGGCCCTGTCTGCACTAAGCAGGGAGGATCATCTTGCTAAAGAATATCACTCCCAATAGCAGCTGCACCTTCCCTGCCAGCAGCAGCCGTTGGTGGGAAGACTGCTTTGTTTATTGCTTAATCTATCACTGTTGAGCTGCCTGCCTCAGGGAGGCTCAATTTAAGATAGATTGAAAGGTAGTGTCTGTCAATTGAATAAACACAGATGGTTTTCCACAGCAAAAATTGATTTTTTTTTCCTTGCCAAAGACATAAGTGCTAAACGTGATTATCTTTGGAAGCCAGGCGTGAAATGTCTCAGCTCCAGCCCCTGCCACACTCTGTTTTGGCAGAGAAGTGATATATGTGGGGACTTGGGTCTCTCTCACATAATATTAGGTTCTTGAGGTGAAATAAAACAATAAAATGTTGACTTCCCCAGAGAAGGGTCCAGCTATGTCCTTCCCGGTAAGAAGGTCTGAGTCAATCCATTAGTTGATTCACAAAATAGTTTTACCAGTCCTTGGTCACTGGCTGGCAAAGGCCTCCTTCAATCCTTCCATTCAAGAGTCTCAAAAAAGTAATAAGTTTCGCCTAAGGACAGACAGCTACACCTAGACTTCCATTTCCTCACTCTTTGTCCAGAAACTCTATGCCATGATGTTAACTGAAGGAGACATCAAGATGAGCTCTACTTCCAAAATGTCTCTGGAAGCAGGTAGATTATAGATGCTTGAACAAGTTGTGCTAGGTATTCAGAAGGCTATTCATGCTAGCAACTAACTAAGCATAGAGTCATTTATATTCAAGCATTTTGAAGAAAGCCAGGCAAAATTGTGGAACACTAGTGCAAGATAACAGGTGCATGGAGGTTGAAGAAGGATGAATAGGAAGAGTACCCTTTGTATAATAATAAGATTCAGCAATATGTTTTCTTATGTCTCTTGCAGCTCTAACTCCAAAACACAGCAAGCTCGTGGAACATCATTCATGCAAAGTATTCCAAGGAGCCCCTGGAAGCAATAGAATAGTCTGACTCCTTTCATACCATTATTGTGAACACGAGCGTATAAAAGTGGTTGAAGGATTTCCAAAAAGTTGTTGCAAGGGTAGCAGAAGTGGGGCTACTGTGACCAAATGGGCTACAGAAATGCTGCAGAGACAACTAGAGACGATGAAGAGACTCGGAATTTTAGTGACAGACAAGACCTTAGCACTGTCTTCTCAGCCTAGAGATGAAAACATGAGTCTAGAGAAGGGAAATGACAGCCAGAGTGACATAGCTAGAGGCAGAGTTGGACTCTCAAGCTAGGAATCTTGGTTCTTTAAGTGATACTATGTGTCTTGCTTTTCAAACTGTTCAGTGTAATTATGGACTAACAGGAAAGCAGGTGTGTACAGTACAGAAGAGCACGTAGCAAGCTGAATTGAAGAAATTTCACTGTGTTTTGGTCCTAACTCCTAAAGCTCCATAGACAGTGGGTACTTCTTCATATCAAGAGACAAGAATCTTTTCATATGTGCCATGTGAAAATGAGAGCCAACTGTTTGTATCTCATCTGGATAGAGAAAACCTGAACTAAAATTGTCGGGATTTTAATGTGTAAGGGCACATTTGCAAAATTTGAATTCATTTGAAAGTGGGTTAATATGTTTGCAACCTGTCAAAATTTCCCTGCCTTTGAGTGAAGAAAAACTCGATTCAGGGTTTCTAAAGTAAGGTAATCAAATCTTTTTAGAGCCAATTAAACTCAGAAAAAGAAAAATATTTCAGCCAAGTCTTTTTCTGTACATGGGCTCTTTCATAAATACTCTTCTTAAGTAGAAACAAGTCTGTAGCTGTTTTTTAATCAGTTCCTAAAGTTAAGACCCCTGTGACTTTCTTATGCATATTCAGACAAAAATACGTGTTACTGAAATTTTATTCACTTCCTCCCACAAACGTTAGGAGAAGCATACATTAAATATAAACATGTTCCTATTTCTACTCAGATACAATCACTTCTTTCTTATAGTGAAACTACTGATTCAGTGTAGCAGTCAGACAAATCTAAGTAAATACACTTGGCTCAAAACCTATGTATCAAGAATAAATACTGTATGCATTTATAGATATTTGATGAATTAATAGCATGATCAATTTTTTCCTAAATTGATTTCTCTTCTATGGCGGAACAGCACCCTGGATGATTAAAACTGTGTAGCAGCAGACAAGACTTCCATCAAGTAAGAATTCGGAGTGTGAGATATCACTGCACAGCCACACGTGAATCTTTATATATGTGCCAATGTATTTGGTTGTATTTTTGCTTTAAAAGTATGTATAGAGCATTTCTCCTAGGTCCTCAGTAACATCTTTTTTAAAAAAAATAAATGCTTAGGGAATTGTTTTATATTAAACTAGCTTCCATTGTTATCAACTTGGAGAGTGTCCCTCATATATGGAGCTCTTTCACAGGGTTGACTTTTCATATTAGGAGTGTAAATAAAAGTTGTCCCTTGGTTTGTATATTACAGATATTCCTAAAAAAAAAAAGTCAAGTCATATTTCTAAAGCACTAGCATCTGCTTAAAGAAATGACAAGGTGAAGTCTTTCACAAAGTAAGCATTCAATATATGATTTCTCTGCTATATAAATCTAGTTGTTCATACAGTTTCTATGACATAATTGGCCACAACCGTTTAACAGGGCTTGATGCTTAAAAAATAATTTTCTACTTGTTCACTTTTCTAAAAAGGGAAGGTTTGCTTCACATCAGAAGAAACATTCGCAAGTTGAAATGAAAAACCTGACTTGATGGCTTCTTTCAAAATATAACAGTGATCTACCATTTTGGCCCCCACCCCCGCCCCCACCTACACCACTCACAAGCATTCTGAAGGGTCTTTGGAGGGCAAAAACACAACAATAGATGCAAGAGTTCCTACCTAGTCATAAAGCAAAACCAAGAGTCCCTCAAGGGGCAAAGTCAAAGGTCAATCTAGACATACCGCTCATGACAGATGTTTCCATTGATGAGGCTAAAGGTGGCCACAGAGGGGTTGGTACTCTTGAGGGAGGTCATGCAGGTGGTACTCCTTCCAGTGCTGTGAGACCGGATGATCAGCCCGGGCCGGCAACAGAGGAGCTGAGTGTTGAACTGTTTCCTGAAACTCTTGCTCAGCAGGTAGAGGGCAAAGGGGTTCACGCAGGAGTTGGTGAAGGCCAGGAGGCGGGCACAGATGCTGGTGACAAAGTGGAGCATGGAGGTGTCCACTTCAGAGTAGTGGTAGGAGCGGTACAGGTAGATGATGTGATTGGGGAGCCAGCAGAAGGCGAACAGGGCCACAAACACCAGCACTGTCTTGGCAAGTCGCTTCCGGGATTCGATCTAAGGAGAGAGTCATATGGAGAGAGATAGAGGAACCAAGGGACAGTGTCAGAAAAATGCAGAGAGACAAAGATTCAGTCAGAGAAAGAGACAGGGAAAAACAATTAGGGCAATAGATGAGTTCACAAAGCCACAGAAAAAGAGTTCACAAAAAAGGAGAAGGTAAGATAGAATCCAATAAAATGAGAGAAAGGCAACAGAAACAGAAAAGGAAGAAAGAGTCAGAAACACACAAATAGATCAGCCAGGAAGCAGAAACCCACAAGGAAGAATAGAGTTAGAACACACCACTGAGAACAGATCTTTAAACAAAGTTGATGACATGTTTGAATAGATTGCAAAATGCAATTCTAATAAGTGCCCCCCTTTTCCTCAGGAGAGCATTGGTGCAGTCTATCAGCCACACGACTTCATGTCTTTCTTTGCTCTGCAGCTAATAATTTCTTATTCTCTCTGATGCTCAAAAAGACCAGCCAACTTTGTCCTTCTTAACTGGCTAAATAAAGATAACTATCTAGTATTATTATTTTAAAACCTTGAGTTATTTCTGGACTATAGTAGGAAGGTACTGCAACAAAGAGGAATGAACATCTCCTTTTGCTCCCAACTCCATCTACTACCTCAAGGGGAAACATGTTTCTCCCTAAAGAGTTTGGGGTATAATGGATGTTGGCTAATGAGAGGTTTTTCAAGTAAGAAGGTAGTTTCACTGGGAACTGCCACTCTTCCCCCACAATTGAGACAAATAAATAATAAACTTGAAAGGGTAAGGTCTCCAAGTGAGTCAACAATTCACTAAAATGGATTGGGGAGTGTTTCTGCTTTTCCATCGTAGATGCTACATGATCTACACCTAAGCTATAAGGCAAGAACTGAGGAAGAGGGAGGAAGCCAGAGCTCTTGCTTTCTACCATTTGTTTGTACCTCAAGGATGAAATTATGGGGTGTTATGGGGGACAAGAGAGGGTGTCTAATCATACGGAGGGCATTTTGCATGCTGGGCACTGTAGGCCTTCCATATACTCTCTCTTGTAATTTTCTAATAGCTTTACAATGTAGGGATTATTAGGCTATCTGATAGGTAAGAAAACTTAGGCTCAGAGGGGCTGAGTACATTATGAAGCTTGGATTTGAGCCCAAATCAGTGTGAGCCTATCCTAGTCAAACTACTTCTTTTTCTTCAACTGGCCTCATTTTCCAGGCTTCTCTGCTTTTTTTCCATGTGGTAACCCTCTTTCTAGGCAAACAATGTGACTGGAGTTTAAAAAAGTCACATCCCCATAAGCCTCAAAGCTTTATTTATTTATTTATTTTTAAAATACAACTCTTTTTCAGATTATTCCTCAAAAAGAAACCCACACTTGAAATGTTTCAGGTTCACAACACCTCCCTAGCTTAGGTCTTTAATAGGAGAATAAGATTATAAAGAACACCTTGGGTTTCCATGGCTAGGTATTTCCATTTCGCATCTGGCCACAGATCACCCACCTCATCTAACTGCAGAATCAAGTGTCCTGGCTTTTCAGTGGGGTCCAAAAGAAATGCAAGGGATTATATCCCCAAGGAGGAAATGAATCAATCTTAAGCACCCACCTGCTTCTTGACATGTATATTCCCTTCCACGGGAAGATTGTAAGCACTCTGGATCAGATTTTTAGCAATGAAGTAGTAGTAAACAGAGATGATTGACAGTGGGATGATGTAGAAGACCAGAAAGGAAGCCATGGAGTGGATTTTGGGGTGCAGCTCATTAGAGTGTGGGTACGGGGCACAACTAATGAAGGTCTGGTTGGTGCTTTCCTCGTGGAAGGGATGGAGGTCAGAAAACACAGCCTCTGGAATGGCCAGCAGCATGGAGATGATCCAGATAAAGGCAGCTTTGAGGCAGATCTTCATCAGGGCATGAGAGGCCTGGATATCCATTGGCCGGACAATGGCTTTGTATCTAGGGCAGGAAAGAAGGAGCCCCATCAGTCGCATAATATTATTCTGAATACCAGGGTCAGGACTAAGTTGAGGCAAGTGAGACACCTAGGGTACAATATTTATGGAGATGCTAACTTTCAAGTCCATAAGGGTTCCAACTTTGAGCTCTATGACCCTGAGACTGAGTGCCTCCTTAAATTTTGTACTACAAATACCCCAATTGCCTCACTCTAACCTAGCCCTGAAGGATGCCTTCTCCTTTCTCCAGAAGTACCATTACACTCATATTCTCTTTTTTTCTTAGTTTAAAGCTAACTTTTAAAATAATTTAACATAAAAATGATATATATTTACTGTATACAACATGATGTTTTAAAATACGTATACATTGTGGAATGACTAGATTGAGCTAATTCACATCTACACTACCTCACATACTTATCTTTTTAAAATGGGAACACTTAAAATTGACTCTTAGCAATTTTTGAGTGTGCAATACATGATTATTGACTATAGTCACCATGTTGTACAATTCACACTCTCTTGGTTTTAAGAATACTTCTTAGGAAAGCTCTGAAGTTCCTTTTGTTTTTCTTCTTAAATCATAGAAATTAATAACAAAACATGTTGCTGCTTAAAGGACACAGAGACAAGGAGGTTGGCTTTTTTTTTGGCAAAACCTTCATTTTGAGTATTCAGATCCACTTCAGGGAACCTCAAGTCATTGAGTATTTTAAATATGCCTCTTTTCTTTTTTTTTTTTTTAAACGGAGTTTGTTGCCCAGCTCTTGTTGCCCAGTCTGGAGTGCAATGGCACGATCTCAGCTCACTGCAACCTCCGCCTCCCGGGTTCAAGTGATTCTCCTGTCTCAGCCTCCCAAGTAGCTGGGATTACAGGTATGCGCCACCATGCTCTGCTAATTTTTTGGTATTTTTAGTAGAGATAGAGTTTCCCCATGTTGGTCAGGCTGGTCTCGAACTCCCGACCTCAGGTGATCCACCCGCCCTGGCCTCCCAAAGTGCTGAAATTACAGGCGTGAGCTACTGCACCTAGCCACCTCTTTTCTTTTTCAAAGGATGCATAATAAATGATACCCTGAAAAAGTCATACCCAGAAGAATCCCTGTAATTTTCAAATTGATTTTTCCCTCGCCTTCCTAATCTCAGCCTTATCTTCTGTTGAAATATTTAGGTTCTTCTTGGTTTGTGAGCTATTTGTGTCCATGTCCTCGGTTGAGTGCTCTGGGAAGCAGACACTGAGATGAAGTAAGAAGTATAAGTTTTATTGAGGAGCAATACCTGTGAAAGGAAAAAGGGGAGGAAGTAGGATAGGAAGAGGGAGCTGTCAGTCCTTAAGGTAGACCTGACAAGGTCTACACCAGTGAGGGTGACTAAACATCTTGGTTTGCCTGGAAATTTTCCAGTTTTAGCATGGTAAGTTCTACATCCTGGGAAATATCTCATTTCAAGCAAACTGGGACAGCTGCTCATTCTGCACCAGCCCAATAGGAAATTTCCAGGCCCATGTATAATCACCTTGCTTAGTAATTGCATGGGGTCACCCTAAGAAGAATGTGATCTCAGTTACTACCTGGCTCAGTCACTGGGCAGGAACCACCCAAGAGAACATGATCACAGCTTGAAAGCTGAAGTGGACCCTGAAAGAGCTCGTAGTTGGAGGCTTCAGCTAACCACACCTCCTGCAGCTGGGCAAGTCTCTTCTTCAAGGGAGATCTGGGCAGCACATCTCCGTGTCTGCATACTCCCCATACAGTTTCTAGCACAGTGGGCCACAAGATAAGGGCACAGTTATCTTGTGTACACCTGTCTGAGAACCCACTAGAGGATGAGACTTTGGCAGGCAAAGAGTATGTCTTTTTCCATCTTGGAATCTGCCAGCACTGTGATTTGCACATACTCCACAAAAGTTCATTCAATTGAACATAAGCTACTATAGTGTGGAAGTTGATATGAGTTGAGACCAACTACATGTGAAGGTCTTTATTGCTGACAATACTGTGTTTAAACTGGGTTCTACCTATAACACTCTTTTATATCATGGATTTCAGGGAAGAGGAATACTTATTTCCACTTGTTTTCATGTTGATTAGACCTCCATTGGTTTACCACTCTTGGCTGCACCCTGACTCCTCCCTTACTTTCCTCCTCCTACCAGGGAAGGGGGAATGAATTATTCAGTGGCAAGTTTGGAAAAAAGAACCTGGCTTGTACATTGGGCTCAGGGAGGTCTATGGTTGTTTAACTGACCCTGTCTAGAAGAATGGCAAGTCTACTATAGAAGATAAGAGAGTGTCTGCAAGTCCATTATTACTATAGACTTGAGTTACATTCCCGAAACATCTTTAGCAGATGTAGATGCAACTATTTTTATATTTATGTCTCTCTGATTTCTATCTCTCTGTTCTCAAATTAGGTAGGGAAGAGAAGGCTATTATTTATTAGACAATCCCAAGCCTCAACATTCCAGAACAACACAACAGTCCTGCTTCAATGGATCTGTGTTTGCTTTAATTTTAAACAAATACAAATAAAAATTTAAAAGAAAGTTCTATTTTCCTCTAGTATCTTCTTTATTCATTAGCCATTTTAAACATTTTCCTAGCGTGGAATGTAGGCAAGAAATTGGTATCTTTAATTAAAGGTATGTGAACATCTTCAGCCAAAGATGCATATGACTAGAGATATCTCTAATAAATGTTTTAGAGATAAAATGATAACTATGACTTCTATCTGCATTTTCTGGCAGATAGCAGTCATAATTACCACTAACTCTCTGAGTAAAGGTGATTAACTCAGTCAGAAACCAGAGTAAATGGCTTACTTCCTTCTCTATTAGGAATTTTGTCTTTCTAGGTGCAAAATACCATAGGAACTATTGAGTTGCTCTTTTAATTTCACAACTTAAAAAATATATAGTATAGGCCGGGCGCGGTGGCTCAAGCCTGTAATCCCAGCACTTTGGGAGGCCGAGGCGGGTGGATCACAAGGTCAAGAGATCAAGACCATCCTGGTCAACATGGTGAAACCCCGTCTCTACTAAAACTACAAAAAATTAGCTGGGCATGGTGGCGCGTGCCTGTAGTCCCAGCTACTCAGGAGGCTGAGGCAGGAGAATTGCCTGAACCCAGGAGGCGGAGGTTGCGGTGAGCCGAGATCGCGCCATTGCACTCCAGCCTGGGTAACAAGAGCGAAACTCCGTCTCAAAAAAAAAAAAAAAAAAACAAATGTTTTTATATATATATATATATATATATAGTATAAAACATTTGTAGTTTTACTAGAAAAATAATTTGAATCTAAATCTAATTAAGCCCCTAGATTTATGTGCCAGTCTTCAGGAAAATTGTGATAGAATAACCTGCTAAATGATGCTATGAGGATACAATCAGCCAAATTCTGAATTGGAAAATTCTACAGGAATAATTACCTCATTTTTTTCAACAAATATATGGCATAGAAAAGGAGGGAGAATGTTACAGACTGAAATATGTAAGACATACCAACCAAATGCAATATGTAGACTCCTTTTGGATTTTGAATCAAACCAACCAATGATAAAAAGATATTTGTGAAACAAATATTGAAGAAAATCAAATATAAATGTACTATTGGTGATATCAAGGAATTATTTTTAATGTACTGAGTGTGATAATGGTATTGTGGCTGTTTCTTAAAAGACCTTGTTTATAAAAGACACATGCTAAATTATTTACCAGTGAAATAATATAACATCTAGTATTTGCTTTAAAGTATTGACATATTCATATATCACTCGTGCAATTAAAAATAAGTTGAAATGCATTGCAAACAATTTTCTGTTATGGTATGTTCCTAACATATCAAATAAATGAAAGAAATCCCATTTACTAAGCTCTTGCCTTTTTTCAAGCAGAGAATAGAATCTATATTATCTCATTAATATTCCAGACAACTCCAATACGTAGACATTATTATCTCCATTCTGCAGATGGGAAGTTGAAGCTCAGTTTAAGAGGTGGTAGAGTCCACATTCAATCTAGAATCAATGTTTTTCAGAACACCATAGTTCCTTCAGAAGAGAGCTTTAGGTAAATTCTTCCTAGAGGGAGAGACATAGACCAGATGTTTCTCAAATGTATATAGAACATACAAAATGTTCCTTGCAAGTCTAATGGTTCTGAGTAGCATGCAGCATATCAGTCTATTTCCTCTTCTGGCCTAGATTGCTCTGCCCAGAACTCCCAATGCAGGGAGACACCACTGGGTAGTTCCTGTTTAGGAGCGATGGCTGGTTGGACTGGAGTGGATACCATATCTAAACCAGCCAATGAACTGCCTGGCTAGCTACTAAAGAGTTTCTCTTTCTCTTAAGCATTTAAACAGAAAAAATAGAATATAGTTAGTAATAGATGCTGGAAATACAAGATTTTGATGTCAAGGAAAAGATCATGGCAGCCATATTTAAACGTGTGGAAGAAGAATAAGCAGAGTAAATGGACTAAGAGAAAAAGAATGAGGCAGACATAAGAGGAGAAGTTGAGATAATGTGGCTCTAAGTCATACAGAGGGTATGGTTTCTGGCTTATGTACTAATTTTGAATGTACAAGAGATCTCCTTTTATAATTTTACAATACTATCATCTCATTTTTACTTGAGTTAGTTTGAGTGGCTTCTGTTCTTTGCCAGCAAAAGAACCTCATCTAAAACAATTATATGTGGTAACCCTTTAAAGTTATCACCAGATTTATTTCCAAGATCATTTTGCATAGATCATCTCCCAGTTGCTACCCTCTGAAAGAATGAGCTGTCAACTTTCCACTGTACTCAAGAGATAGGCTAGTTTATGTCTCATTCCTAAATTTTCCATTACTTTTCTGTTTCCCCCCTTTCATCATGCCCAATCCCAGATTCTTGGTTCATCTAAATCAAATCCTTCCAAATTTCAGTTTAAGTATCATCTTGATGAAGCTTTTACTGAACAATCCAGGCCTTAATGATTCCCATTCTTTCTCCCAACC